CATTACCACATCATTATCAGTGTATATATGTTACAAAACATATTATTCACATGGGCAAGCTCTCTTTTTCTCCTTCATCAACACATTTAACAAAAAAAAAAAATGTTTTTAATCGAAACAGCCAAGATACAGGGTTAGTCAGGATGCTGATCCTGCAAGAAAGGCATTTACATACATATGCATTTTTATACATATAAGTTTTGAAGTTTTTGAAATTACTGTACTTTAATAAAATGTTTAGTTTTAGTTTAGGCTTCACTTGGATCCCTGTTTGAACCCATTACAAAAACACTACAACCTGTTCTTTACTTGTTTATCTACTATCGGTTGGTTCTTTGTCTGACTTATAAGTTGCTTTTGATAAAATTGTAAACAATTCTAAATTAATTCTGAATGTATTAATTAAAACCACCAGTTATTGATGAATGATGAAACACTAAATTCATGTAAAATACTCAATAAAGTTTAAATTTGCACTGTGTGAAACATGTTCCTGTAATGTTTGTTTTTGTTTTTTTTTTTTGCTTGTTACATTTTAAATTTATTGAGTATTTTGTCTGGATTTTGTGTTTCATCATTTGAATTCCTTATGTGTCAATTGAAAGTAATAATAGAAATTTATACTCATGCCCTGAAATAAACATAGTGCTGGTGGTTAATGATGTGTCCACTCGACTATGTTACATCTCATTTTTTCAAATTTATAATAACTAAAATGGTGCTGATATCTTTTAAAGTATATTGCACATCACAGTTTGGAGTTTTGTAAAGCCTTGCTTAAAATGATTAAAATTACCCGTATGATACTTTTAGAACAACAAATGTTTCTGTCCTTAACAACAGTACTGAAAACATCATATCTTAAAAAAAAACAATTCTTAAAATTATTTTTAATACTTTATAGTGGGTATGAGGTACTTTTCTGCATGGCTATCTTTGTGTCTACACCAAGCCCACCTCTCCTATTTGTTGCCAAAAATCTCTATTTTGGTCTCATTTAACCATAGAACACGGTTCTACTGAAAGTTCCAGTAACCTCTGGCAAAATGTAGGTGCTTGTGTTTGTTGGTCCTTGACAGCAGAGGCTTTCCTCTGGTAACGCTCCCAAACAACTTGTCGTCATGTACGTGGCGTGTGATTGTAGTTTGGGAGACGTTCTGACTCCAGGACCTAACCAGTGTCAATTTTCCAGCTGTAATCCTTGGAGATTCTTTTGGCACTCAAACCATCCTCCTCACCGTGTATGTGGTCAGTATAGACATACATCCTTTTCTCGGCAGAATGTTAAATGCTTTAAAAATCTTAAGGCCCTGGTAGTGGAAATGGGGATTTTCAAAGGTTTAGCTATTTTCTTGTAGCCATTTTTTGATTTCTGCAGCTCAGCAAACTTTTTGTTGCACATTACTTTTGTATTCTCTGGTCTTCTCATAGTGATGGATGACTGAGGGAATTTGATTGTAGATCACCTCACATTTATACTCCAGTGAAACAGGATATCTTGGCTGACAATTTAAGTGTTCCTAATAGCTCAAGTTCACTTTAAAACATAAAATACGAAGGGGAATGTAGTTCAGTAAAATTTCACTCATAAGAATTTCTTTGGGTGCCATCAGTTGTGGCACACAGAGATTTGAGAAAAATATTCATTTCTTGATAAGATTTTTTTTTTCTTATCAAAAATGAGCAATAAAAGATTCTTTTTTACAGGCTGTTTGGCTCAACATATAGATATACAAAGATATATATATATATATATATATATATATATATATATATATATATATATATATATATACACATACATACATACATACATACATACATACATACACACACACACACATTTCTGTATCTATGTATATCTATTTTTCAGCATGACAATGCACCTTGTCACAAAGCACAAGTCATCTCATACTTTTTCGAAGAACATAATGAATCCAGTGAATTTCCACAGCATCCCCACGCACCAGATCCGAGTCATATAGAGCACATTTGGCATGACATTTTGCACAGGGGATTCACAACGTGAATGTGCAGCTGACAAATCTACAGCAATCGCATGATGCAATTACATCAACATGGACCAGAATCTTGTTTTTCTTTTTTTCCCAGGGGCATTACATCCCCCCTAAATCAAATGTTTATTAATGTTACTTCTCACCTCTATGATGATAACATTGTCCAGCAATGAAGAGATTTGTTCAAATGGAATTTAACTGACAGCCAGTGATCAGTGAGTAGAGAAAATAATCCACCCTATCGACAACAACTTGGGGAAATTATACACGTTTCAAGCACAAGCTGTACAATGGTATATAGCACCAGTCAAATACCCATACTTTGTCACACTTCAGAATGAAATGACCACACACAGCAACAATAACTTGTAAAAAACAAAGTACAAACTTTATTATTCTGTCTTTACAAAGGCACAGGCCTCTTTTCCCCAGTTTTTTTTCTTAAAAAATGAGAACAAAATATAATAGCTTCTCAACAAGCAGATGGGATTGAGTGCTCCCAAAACAATAAGGGGAAAAAAAAAAACACAACAAACAACAACAACAACAACAACAAGAAAGGATGAGACAGATGAAGATAAGAGGGATGTGAGATGAGACAAAGAATGAGTTTCTAGATTACAGAGACGGAGACATACAGAGGACAAGATGCGCTGGGAGAGAGAGTCTAGGAGGGTTCCACAGTTTGTGGTACGGACTTATAGCGAAAAGAGCTTCAACTGAGGAGATGTCCTTCAAAAACTAAAACATGATCCTCATAATAGAGTTAAGTGCTTCAGGATCATAATCATTAAACACTGTTGGCTAAACCCTCACACACTCATCCGTCTGATGCAGTCCTCTGCAGACTTTTGCAAGTAGAAAATACAAAAAGACAAATTTGAGACACCCTGTGGCTTTGGTAGAGGAAATGCTGAGATCTGACAGCTTTCTGAGATTTGATGGATGTACAAAACCGTTAGCAAGAAAAATATGAGAAAACCAAATCCAGGTAAAAAATGAAAATCCACCAGTCTCGATGGTCCAATCTAACCAGCCCACAAAGGTGTCCTGTCTGAGGGTCCAGTGACCGCCAGCATGCCGACAGTATTTGATAGATCCTTGAAGACAAGCAATCTGTCCAGCAGCAAAGAATTCCCTGTAACACTGGAGCAGGGGATGAGCGGACATACTTTCATTTTTCATAGATTTGTCATGTCTCCGCTTGTAAATCAATTTAAAAAATGGCATTTGCAAGTTTGAGTGAAGCCAGGAGAAATGTAACATAAAATATATGTAACATAAGATATGTTGGTATAACTTTCTGGAATGTTTAGAATTGCCACCCATGTTCACATCACAGGTTTAATGAGATGTGAAGACACATGGGATGGAGCAGGGAAGATGAGACAAAATATTTGAGTGCTCCCAAGGCCAACCAAGCATGCATCTGTGGGAAAAGGACAAGAGCTCAGACTGCTTTTTTCTAGTATTACTTAAATGCTAACTCCAGGGCTGGGTTTAAGGCTAGCCTCTGTGCCCCTCTGCACACTGAAGCTAGGTTAAGGCAAACCACTGCCTCTATCTGCACACCTGGGCAAGATTTAATGCAGTCCCTGACTGCTCCTTCCAGTAGAGAGGGTGGTAGAGAGCCTATGCTTCTGCACAGCTCCACAAAGGAGGAGGGCAAAAGTTCACAGAGGGACCAAAAAGCCACAAAATTATCTGTGTCGTGTGCAGGCATCACTATGCACAGAAACTGAGGGGGAAAAAGGAAAAACAAAACATTCAGGCAAACAGAGCAAACTGCTGAGTGCATAGAGTAATTGTGCAGGATGTGAAAAGGCCTACTGAAGATCAGCACAGCAATTAACAGCATAGGCCACATAAAGTCAGCTAATTATGACGGGAAAAGACAGCAAGGCCCTATCAGTGGGGACAGATACAAGAACTACATGAGCAAACCACTGTCAAGGGAGCTGCATGCTGGTGGTCTAAGCCAAATCTGCTAGTGCTATCACCACACCTTCTCAAAACAAGACAGGCCGTTGTGTGTTTCTAGACGAAGCACACACAGCACAGATCTTTTTGCAGGTGCAAATACCTGCTGGTTAGCTTATTTAATTTTGAGACACAAACTAGACAAAAGATTAGGCCAACATTAGCAGACTCAAAAAACAAAGCTACGAAGTCAATATGATGAGCTGTGTGTCCCATGAACCCAGCCCAGCTGAGCATGAGCAATGGTAAGAGCAAATGTCGAGCTCCCTCCATCAATCCACTAATAGGCTTTGCTTTGTTTACAAAGTGCACAAATCAACGACGATCTTTGGCCCTCCTTTAGAATGACTGCAGATGTAGGGACCTGAGGCACCTCAAACCAAAATCCGATGAGAAAAGTAGGGGTTGCACTTGTGCAAATGGGGTCATTTCCTCTAAAGAGTCAAAGCCAAGGGATTGGTACATTTGGCTCCTAAGTCAGGTACGCTCACAGTGGTGCTTTCTAAAAAACAAACAAACAAATAAAAAGCCTCCCTAAGACAGAAAGAAAAATGGAGGGAGTCACGTTCAATTGAAAGAAAGTATTTTGGTGGGTGTGGGGGAGAGGGGTCAGGTCGGTTACTCCAGTTTTAGGGGTAGTGATGGGACAGAGACAATAAGGCCTGAATCAGAGACGCCTGTCCCCTCCACAGGAAGAGTGGTGATTAGAGGGGCAGCAGAAGACAAACGACCTGTACGAGTGTTGTCGGAGGCTAATTCCGATTGTGGTGTTTCATTTTCATCTTGCACTGAAATATGAGTGTGCATTAGGAACAAAGACAATGCTTCTGAATGCAACTCAAAGTCTGATACTGA